CAAGTCCTAATCTTAAATGTAAGCAGTCAGCCTCACGGACAGAAACTGAAAATTGGTTCCACAAGAGAGGAGCCTGACAGCTGAAAGCTCTACCTCCCATTCTAATTTTGGAAACACTAGGAACCATAAGTAAACCTGCAGTCTGAGAACGAAGTGCTCTGTTAGGACGATATGGAACAATAAGATCTGTAATACAAGATGGAGGTTGTTGAGCCCTGAATTCCTGTTTTCCTCTTCCAGGTGGAGCTATGTCACCAAACTACTCCCCCACCTCCCCCGCCTACGAGCCTCGTTCTCCAGGGGGCTACACCCCGCAGAGCCCCGGCTACTCCCCAACATCGCCCTCCTACTCCCCCACATCACCTTCCTACTCCCCCACCAGCCCCAACTACAGCCCTACGTCTCCTTCATACTCCCCAACCTCGCCCAGTTACTCCCCAACATCTCCTTCCTATTCACCCACGTCTCCCTCCTATTCCCCAACGTCTCCCTCCTATTCCCCCACCTCCCCCTCGTACTCCCCCACATCTCCGTCATACTCCCCCACCTCGCCGAGCTACAGCCCGACATCACCGAGCTACAGTCCAACGTCCCCCAGCTACTCCCCCACATCACCCTCCTACTCCCCCACCTCGCCTTCTTATTCTCCCACATCTCCGTCCTACTCCCCCACTTCCCCCTCCTACTCCCCCACCTCCCCCTCCTACTCGCCGACCAGCCCAAGCTACAGCCCCACGTCTCCAAATTACACCCCCACGTCCCCCAGCTACTCCCCAACCTCCCCTTCATACTCTCCGACGTCGCCCTCCTATTCCCCGACTTCCCCCAACTACACCCCGACTAGCCCCAACTACTCCCCCACCTCCCCCTCATACTCCCCTACCTCGCCTTCGTACTCCCCCTCAAGTCCACGTTACACACCCCAGTCACCTACCTACACGCCCAGCTCGCCATCTTACAGCCCCAGCTCCCCCTCCTACTCCCCAACCTCCCCTAAATACACCCCGACCTCCCCCTCCTACAGCCCCAGCTCCCCAGAGTACACGCCCACCTCGCCCAAATACTCCCCCACCTCGCCCAAATACTCCCCGACGTCGCCGAAGTACTCCCCCACTTCTCCCACCTACTCCCCCACGACTCCGAAATACAGCCCCACCTCTCCCACCTACTCCCCCACCTCGCCCACCTACACCCCTACCAGCCCCAAGTACTCCCCTACCTCCCCCACATACTCCCCGACTTCGCCTAAGTACTCGCCCACGTCTCCCACATACTCGCCAACGAGTCCCAAAGGCTCCACCTACAGCCCCACCTCCCCCGGCTACAGCCCCACCTCCCCCACCTACAGCCCAGCCATCAGCCCAGATGACAGCGATGAGGAGAACAATTGATGAGGCACCGCGTAGGAGGAGCGGCGTCTGAAGAGAGCGCCACCTTGTGGTCAACAGCTGAAAGACGGCGGCTTTAAGTAGCTGGAGGTGGCGGTGGGGAGGTTTTCTTTCCTCCCACCTTTATATCCCCCGTTGAAATCTTCAAACTGTTCTGTAAAACAACAACAAAAAAAACTTGGAACTGTTTTGCCTGATGGGGAAAAATGTTGCCTTTTGAAATAGTTTTTTTTTTAATTGTAAGACAAGGTGTTGAAGCAAAACTGACACCCCACCCCCAAGAGGAAATGAAAAGAGAAAGCTTAAAAATATATATTTAAAGGGGTGGAAAAAATCCACAGTAACGTTTAGCTTTTCTGCACCCACTCGCTCGATCTCTTTTGTTCTCTAACTCAGGGGTTCCCAACCCTGGTCCTTGAGGAACACCGTCCTGCATTTTTTTAGTCGTTTTTCTGCTCAGACACAACTGATTTTAATAACTGGATGATTTACAGATTTCTGCAGAACATGAGGACATAATTAAATTGCTGGAGCAGGGAAACGACTAAAACATGCAGGATGGCGTTCCTCAAGGACCAGGCTCGGGACCACTGATCTAACTGTTGGTGCCGTTCTTGTACAGCTTACAGAGATGATTGTGTTCATCACTAAAATGAACCGGGAAGGAAGTAACAATAAAGTGAGGTTCAGACTTTTCTTTAGCTCGTATTTCATTGAGCTGTTTCTTCTAAAACCTGTGGATGTTTTCAGTTGCTGGCAGTTTTGTGGACATTATTGTGCGTCAAACCGATTCTGGTTCATGTTGTCTTAAACGAAAAAAAGCTTTGCATCGTCAGCAAAAGTGCACATTTTTAAAGAAGCTACAGAAACCCTTCACCCTCTCTTTTCCCTCCTTCGCACCCCAGAAACTTGAAAGATGTCACACGAAAACACAAACCAGCATCCTTCTATCATTTTAGAGACTCGTTCATCAAAAGCAGAAGAAAATCTCTGGAAAGGAATAAAAATAATTTCTGCGTTCTTTTGATTTTTGTGAGGAAACCAGTTGTGCTGCTTTTGTTTTCTCACAAGCAGCGCATGTTCATTTTAATCCTGTGTTTCGCTCTTTTTATTTTTTTGTCAAATGATAGTTGAAGTGTGCAAACAATTTATCAGTTTATTTAAGAAAGGTAAATCTGTACGAGTATAAATAGAGAAAAATGTGATTTTTGCTTCATTTCTTTCTCGTTTGCTCTTCGTAGCCCTGTTTTTCAGGAGGCTCGTGTTCAAACCCTGAGGATGAAGAGGCAGGGGACTGAGCGCACAGCTTTTTACTTTTTATCCTCGTTCTTAAAGCCAGTTTTTGTCACGACAGTTCTCAGTTGGCTTACAGACGTCTCTAGTTAAAAAGGCTGCAAAAAATAGGAGCATTTGAACTATTCCACCACACGCAGATTGGCCTTTTTTTTTTAAAAAGATCAAAACACTACAGCAGTGTAAACTTTCTTTTCAACATATTTCCGTCATGTTTGTACTCTGTACGCCTGATGATTTTTATTTTATTCTCATTAGTTTTATCAGGCATGCTATCTTTATTAAACCTGCTGCCTCTTCATCCTCAGGTGAACCTCATTTCTAAAATCAGTGTTTCCTTGATGTTTTTTTCCTGTTCCGTGTATCTGTGATCAGAGAGGTAAATATAAATCAGCTCTGACTGGGGGTCCTGCAGTGAAGCTTCTTACATCGTCCACTGAATCGACACGAAGCAGGTTTAGTCGTTGCACTTACTGCAGTAGACTTCAGCCCCACGCCTCGTTGCTTTTGTGCGTTCAGATCACACAGGACTCCCAGGGGCATGAATGAATGAGCGTGTGTGTGTTTAGGGCGAATCGGAAGGTGACGCAGGGTTTCACGCTGAGGGAAAGCCTCAGTCGTCTGATTTAAAGAAGGTTTAACTTAAAGTTGCCACTGTATAAAATCCAGTCATTATCTCATTCTGTGTAATCTGTTTGTTTTTTGACTTGGAAAAATTGAATAAAAATTTTTGCTATACGTGTTTGTTCTCAATTAAAGTTGAGAGTGTGATGCTTTCAAAAGTGATGTGTGTGTGTGGGTTAGTTTTTCAATGGGCGGAGGATTTGAGTACAATAAGTTTTGTTCCAGTGTGTCATGGAGACCGGTCCAAAATAAAATCTGCACACTATTTTTCCTCATATCGGTAGTTAACGCGTCCCTGAACGTAAAAATGAAGCATCATTTGTAAATGGTTGCTACTACGCATGTTTCTTTACCTACAGAAACAGCTGAAGTGACTGAAAATGGGTCAATATGGTACTTCTTGGTAATTGTGCTTCTCCCAGCTATCTTGTCAACAATGGTGTACCACAAGGCTCAGTCTTGGGCCCTACCTTCTTCGCAATCTACAAAAGTAATGTAGGTCAGATCTTTCCTGACAGCTTTATTGTCGAGCTGGTTTTCCAGCTTTTACAGTCTGCATTCAACATCATCCAGTCAGATTTGTTCCATCTCAAACTGGTGCTAAATGCTGATAAAACCAAAGGGATGTTGTTTTCAAACAGGTACCAGCAGTCCCATCTTATCTATGAATGGTGACCAAATGACCACTCTGAGGGATTTTAAACAAGCTGTTACAATCACTGCAGACATGTTCCTGTTTTTAGTATTTTACATCGCTTTATAATGTAGCTGTTACGTTTTTATATCGTTTTATTTAACGGTACTTTTCATTTTATATGACTGTCTATTCTTGTCTGTACGTCATCTGTGTTCTTTGTTTAAAATAGGCCTCTGAATCCTTGCGACTCAGTGAGCCTAATGAAGGTTGAATGAAAAAAATGAGCCATTTATTCAGAAGTCCAACAGTTCTGATACGTATTCACGCTCAGATGTCTTGAGTAAAGTCATATTTGGTTACCGGCACAAACTACGCAGCTGGTTAATCAAAACTCGAAGTGTCCACGTGGCTTTTCGATGGTTTCGGCTGAGTGCTTTGTTTACACTGAACACGTACCCGCATTTCAGAATTGCATATTACAAACCGGATTCCAAAAAAGTTGGGACACTAAACAAATTGTGAATAAAAACTGAATGCAATGATGTGGAGATGGCAAATGTCAATATTTTATTCGTAATATAACATAGATGACAGATCAAAAGTTTAATCTGAGTAAATGTAACATTTTAAAGGAAAAATATGTTGATTCAAAATTTCACAGTGTCAACAAATCCCAAAAAAAGTTGGGACAAGTAGCAATAAGTGGCTGGAAAAAGGAAATTAAGCATATAACGAACAGCTGGAAGACCAATTAACACTAATTAGGTCAATTGACAACATGATTGGGTATAAAAAGAGCTTCTCAGTGTGTCAGTGTCTCTCAGAAGCCAAGATGGTAAGAGGATCACCAATTCCACCATTGTTGCGCAGAAAGATAGTGCAGCAATACCAGAATGGTGTTACCAAGCGTAAAATAGCAGACTTTTAAGTTATCATCATCAACCGTGCATAACATCATCAAAAGATTCAGAGAATCTGGAACAATCGCTGTGCGTAAGGGTCAAGGCCGTAAAACTACTGGATGCTCGTGATCTCCGGGCACTTAAACGTCACTGCACCTCAAACAGGAATGCCACTGTCAAGGAAATAACAGAATGGGCTCAGGAATACTTCCAGAAAGCATTGTCAGTGAACACAATCCACCGTGCCATCTGTCGTTGCCAGCTGAAACTCTACAGTGCAAAGAGGAAACCTTTTCTAAGCAAGCTCCACAAGCTCAGACGTTTGCACTGGGCCAGGGGTCATTTAAAATGGAGTGTGGCAAAATGGAAGACTGTTCTGTGGTCAGATGAGACACGATTTAAAGTTCTTTATGGAACACTGGGACGCCATGTCATCCGGACCAGAGAGGACAAGGATAGCCCAAGTTGTTATCAACGCTCCGTTCAGAAGCCTGCATCACTGATGGTATGGGGTTGCATGAGCGCTTGTGGCATGGGCAGCTTGCATGTCTGGAAAGGCACCATTAATGCAGAGAACTATGTTCAGGTTCTAGAACAACATATGCTCCCATCTAGACGTCATCTCTTTTAGGGAAGACCCTGCATTTTTCAACACGGTAATGCCAGACCACATTCTGCAGCAATCACAACATCATGGCTACGTAGGAGAAGGATCCGGGTACTGAAATGGCCAGCCTGCAGTCCAGATCTTTCACCTATAGAGAACATTTGGTGCATCATAAAGAGGAAGGTGTGACAAAGAAGGCCCAAGACGATTGAACAGTTAGAGGCCTGTATTAGACATGAATGGGAGAGCATTCCTATTTCTAAACTTGATAAACTGGTGTCCTCTGTCACCAGACGTCTGTTGAGTGTTGTAAGAAGAAGGGGGATGCCACACAGTGGTAAAAATGGACTTGTCCCAACTTTTTTGGGATTTGTTGACGCCATGAAATTTGGAAACAACAGATTTTTCCCTTAAAATGATACATTCTCTCAGTTTAAACTTTTGATCTGTGATTTGTGTTCTATTCTGAATGAAATATTAGATGTTGGCACCTCCACATCATTGCATTCAGTTTTTATTCACAATTTGTTTAGTGTCCCAACTTTTTTGGAATCTAGTTTGTATATCTGGGAAACTACGTTCTTTCTAACTGCAACATTTGATTAAGTTCAAGATAACTTTTTTTTTGGAAAGCTGGATTTAATAGTTTGAAACAAGTTCCTTTAATTTGAATTTTTTTTTACATTTTCTGCAGAATCAATGCCATTTGACCCACTCTATAATAAATATTGAGGTAAATTATTTACTTGTACAGAAAGTAAGAGAAGCTAATTGTACTTTGAGCTTAACGCTCCCTGTAATCCTCCTGCTGCCCTTGGGTCATAATGATCCACTGGGCCTCATGGGTCATTTTGACCCAAGGGCAGCAGGATGGTTAAACGGGAAACAGTCCCTATCTGTGTCGATTTCTGATTTTCTGATGAATCCATTAAACCAATGTCAGTGTGCACAAAAGGTACAGTTCACACTGCCTCCTTTAGGGGGCGCTCTCACCTAACGAGGCGCTCACCTGCACCACTCTGGGAGCTCAGGAACTGTGGAGGTTAACAAGTGAATTTATTTTACAGTGGACCTGTTTCATGGCTGACGTTGTGCCTTTAAGCAGAACGACCAAAATGAGAGCCACTTCTACGCCTGCTAATTATCTGTTTCTCCAGTCCGCAGTAAACACCATTCTGCATGTTTCAGGGGTTTCCTTGCTCCAACACACTTAATTAAAGGGATTAAATTATCTCATCAATTGGAACCAGATGTGGGTTAGATTAAAGTTGTTTTAAAGCAGTAATAGTTCACTTCATGTGGGCCTCGCTCAGTCTAGACATCTCA